CCGGACTCAAGGAGGATGCTGCCCTGCTCGCTTCCATATGGCGGCGGAGGAGCCAGGCTGCCCGTCATGGGAGCCAGGCCCCATTTTTTGACGTTGGCTTCGATGAAAACAAATCCCATCTGGCCAAAGTTCACATGCACTGTGCAAGGACCATTGGCACCGACAGTAGGGAAGAAATTCTGTGTTTTAGCCCCATGGACCACATCCTCTAATTTCTTGCCGTTGCGAGTGAAGAAGATTGTGCCGGACCGTGGTCGGTACCCTACGCCAACCACATCGCCTTGCGCTAAAGGAGGGCCGTAAGGCGTCGCCGAGAATGGCTGATTATATCGGCGGTGACCTGTTGATAAGTAGGCAACAGAAGTTTTATGGAAGCCTGCGAAGGGAGAAACTGTGTAAGCAACAGGAGTGCGGGAGAACTAGCGATGAATATTCGGACATTGACATACCTGGTAGTCGAAATAGCGGATACGGTTTTGTGGTCATGCCGATGCTGATGTGAGTGCTTTCCGGCTTCTCGTAGATCTTCGCTTCCCAGTAATAGACGTCATTCTGCTTGGGAACAGGCAAGTTGGTCTGCACACTACATTCCGAATCATAGAACTCAATTTCCGTTCGGCCTTCGACAAAACAGTTGGCAATTTCCAACTCTGGTTGGAATTCCCATGCCGAGACACCCTTTTCCTGTATCGCAAGGAACTGAGATAACGAAATGTCGGTCTGCATCGACTCGGGCGGATTGGCCTCCACGAACGCTGGCAACCATCACAATTAGCATTAATACGTAGCGCGGTCGATAGTCTCAAACTCACACTTCGCTCTCATATATTCCGACCGCGACATATCATCCATAACCTCCAAGGCCTCCGCCTCCTCGCGCGCGAACGCCTGCTCATCGTCAAATTCACCCGGTCGCCCAATACGATCAAGAAAAATCCGGCCACGTCGGGTGTACTTGAAGAAAAAAAAGATAGCGAGAACGAGGACAGCAACAGTCGCAGAGCCAAAAGCAGACAGGACGCCGATCAAGATACCCTTGCCGGTCGAACCGGATGAGTTGCCACTGACGCCAACCAGGCCGCCATCGTTGTGCGACGTTAATGACAACAGGACGTGTTCGACATTTTGGGCGACGACATCTGCGTCTGTAGATGGGAGAGGAGTCGAGCTCGATAGGAACGATGTCGGGTTCCTTATCACGGAAGTGGTGAGAGTCGAGGGAGCACCGAAGATAGCACCAGGCCCCGATGCCTCAGATCCCCGCATCGTTCATTGACCGTCGGGGCAGAGTCGACTGGCTTCGATACTTATGATGTTCCGATAGGGAAGACAGAATTAATTACAGAAGATGAATAGACACGCAAAACGTGCGAAAGAGGAGATGAGACGAGAGCAAGAAAATGGAGAAAAGGTTGGAAGAGAAATGGAAGTAAAGAACGAGAGCGAGCGCCCAGCTGGGGCGTCATTTGGTGTCTGTATGTAAGTTACGAACAAGGCCAGACGATCAATAGAATGCCGCTTCCGGGCAGACAAGATGCATTCGGAGTATATGCAGCAAATCACCCAGATCAGATAGTCTCCTACACTAATTCATGTTTAGATAACATTTCAACCATGCGAATAGTCTCTTCATACTACTGGTTGAGCTCGAATTGTCCTTGACTTTGAGTTGAAAAATGCAGGGTCCTCTGAGCAGGGATGGATTGTGTCTGCCTGTCGTATGCCTGTGATCGGTAACTTACGGTAAGTACAATACCTCTAGTCAATCGGCGGCACTATTGAAGGATAGACATCTCATGCCCAAGAGAGAGTCTCCTTCATTGCATCCCCGATGCTAGCCCTTGATCGTCGCGGCTCCTTGCCTTCCTGCTTTTTCGCGGTCTCAAACACTCACTACCTTTTGACACCTTTTGAGACCTTTTGCTCCCTTCGTCCTTCTGTTAGCTATTGAGAAGATGCGTGGCTCTGGGCGGTCAGATATCGTTATCAGTGCTGTTGATGCCCTTGATATCCGCATTACCCTGACCAGCAATGACTGCGATAAATATCCAGGTTCGTAGGGTGCTCAATCTCCTGGATTCCATCCCGCTCTCTCCCCCTTCAGAGTGTGTTTCTCAGGGCTTGTGTCTGTCCCGGTCCAAAACTTAAAACGCAAGGCTGACGGCCTCGCGGCGCAGCAAAACAACATGCTCGCAGAGTGGCTGCGAAGCTTGGTGTCTCGTCTGGGCTGATTTACCTTGTTGGTCAGCCTACAATCAATTGGGGAGATTCAGATCAGCCGCGTCCGTTCCGACAAAGGCGATACTTCTACTACCTTAGCGGGGTTGATGAGGCAGACTGCTATCTGACATATGATATCAAGAATGATCTCTTGACGCTCTATGTGCCCGATTTCGACTTGCACCGGGCCATATGGATGGGACCGACTTTGACAGTGAAAGAAGCTCAGGAACGGTACGATGTCGATCAAGTACGGTACTATGCGTCTCTCAAGGGTGACATCCAGCGATGGGCGGGTAACTACAACAAGACGAGCCTGTTATACATACTTCATGATACCCAGAAGCCCCAGGTGTTGCCAAACGAACTTCGCTTAGATGACGAATCCCTGTTACCCGCCATGGATGCAGCCCGGGGCATCAAGGATGAGCATGAGATTCGGATGATTCGAGAAGCGAACAGAGTATCTGCTTTGGCCCACCGCAAGGTGCTCGAAAATGTTCTCCGAATGTGGACAGAGGCAGAGATCGAAGGTCTTTTCTTAGACACTTGCATCTCCCATGGAGCGAAGAACCAAGCATATGAGATCATCGCTGGGTCAGGGGAGAATGCGGCCGTTCTTCACTATGTGAAGAATAATGAACCGCTTCAAGGAAGACAGCTGGTCTGTCTGGACGCGGGTGCCGAGTGGAACTGCTACGCCAGTGACGTAACCCGAACCTTTCCCCTGGCCGCCGACTGGCCCACAGCGCGGGCCAGGGACATCTACCAGCTGGTAGAAGAGATGCAAGAAGAATGCATCAAGCGTATACAGAAAGGTGTGCGATTTCTAGACCTACAGGTCCTGGCGCACGTGATTGCAATTGAAGGGTTGATGCGACTAGGCATCCTCAAGGGCGGCTCGGTAGAAGAAATCCGCGAGTCCGGGGCATCGACCGTCTTTTTCCCGCACGGGTTGGGCCATCACGTCGGACTCGAAGTGCATGACGTGTCTGCGAAACGGCTCACGGCTTTGGAGGGGGACAAGGAATACTACAGCTCGACATTGGTGCCGTCTGTGAGCCACTGTCCCTGTACACTTTCCGCACCATTATTGGAGGAAGGTATGGTGGTCACAGTCGAGCCCGGCATCTACTTTTCCCGACTAGCTCTAGCGAATGCACGAAAGCTGCACTTCGCAAAGTATATAAACTTTGACGAGGCCGAGAAATACATTCCCATTGGTGGTGTGCGCATTGAGGACGATATTTTGGTGACCAGCTCTGGGCACGAAAACCTGACTACAGCTCCCAAAGGGGAGGAAATGCTAGAGATCATCCGTCGGGGGATCGACAATTAGCCCGGCTTTTTAATTTCAGCTTCTGATGAAGGATGGGCTGCTGGGTCATGGATGGGCACATTTTCATTGTCATCGTGGTTTCATCGTTGTCGAAACAGCACATGAGGGCCTAGAACCAGCCTTCTGGGACTGGGACCTAATACCTATTGTAATGGGTGCTTACTGATGGAATGCGTCTGGAATAGCATGAACAGACAGAAGTTTCCAACCAGCCCTGTTTCACTATTCACAAATGAACAAATCAATCATGACGGAGGTTCGGATAGGATGAGATATCACACATGCGCAATCCAGGTAATATCCCTCGCAATGATATAAACTTCCCATCAAAAATAGTCGGACCGTACGGTATGATCAGATTTGCCACTCTGATTGGCATTAGTATTGCGAATTGGCGAGATTGGGCAATGGCATTATTTGGCGCATTCAGTAGCGGAGATTTCTTGTTTTGCTCCGACTTTCCGGATTATCCCCTTTTCTCTGTCGGAGTCATACCACCTTTTCTAGTAAAGGGGGAGGAGAAATGGGATCTATATTAAAAAAGTAAAGAAATTTTCTGTGGATCGGGTGAGGTCATGAATCATCGAGCTTCTTGTTTCAGAGAGTATTCTGCCAGGTCTCTCCTGAGCTCTCTCTCTAATCCTGCAGGCATGGCAAAACTAGACAACGAGTTAATTAATATTCTCTTGTCAAATTAGACTTCAACTAGAATCTACAGTCGGACAGAACCGGGCAAACTGATTATTTTTTCATCATTCCTAGCATCGGATACTCAATGGCTGGTAGTTGAAATATCACACAGAATCGAGCAATGTGCTCAGAATATGACTCCATAGTTAGGCATCATCTACCTATACCGTCGATGATTCGGGATGCTTCGCGCAATTATCCTTGCTAATTAGTCCATCTATCACCATAAATTTTCACATTAGGTACCCCTGCTTTACAACCTTCTAGACTTTACTTAGTGGATCTTCGTCAGGGTGGATCCGATTTTCGGGACGATGAGTTTTCACTCCAGCAGCCGTACAGACTTAGAGGAGGATGGCGTATCCTCATCGGCCTATCCCTGACGTGATCTCAGATGGATTACCGGATTGGGCCGTAGTGAGTCACACCACAGCACCAGCTCATCGTCAGAGCTATGCCTACCTTGGCTTTATATACCTTGTGCGTCTTTTGTATATCATATTGGATCTTCCGATCTTTTGTTTTCTTTTCTCTTGCTTTCTTCACCTCATCTCATCCTTCCCAGGGGTGATGGTCACTCCCCTCTTGCTGATTCTTTAAAAGTTGTTTACTCCTTCTCTTATATATCCAACCTGCCTATACTTTTACTATCACCCACATCAACAGGAGAGGAGTTCAAAAAGTGAAACGAAAAAATATACTTCCTTCGTCCTTCATTTTGAACCTCGTCCTCGCCAATTCCCTCTCGAGAATGGGACAGAGACATAACAGACGTCGAACACGCCAAAGATCTCGGAACCGCAGCTCCAGAGTTGACTCATCCGATTCTTCTCCGCCCCCTACGAATTTCATTGGCTCAAACGCTCCCTCTGCATACTGTGTGAGCAAGTCCAGGGCCGCCTGCAGTTCACTGGACCGCTTCCCGATTCCCTTCGCCCAGACCTGGCATCATGGGTATTCGGGAGGGCAGGTGCGTGAGCGCAAGTCGCCGCTGGAGGCAGAGCAGTATCGTCTTTTTGGAGGTGAACCGGGTGACGATGTAGACCTCTGCTATCGCATGCTGGAGTACTTTGGTGGTCTCGATTATATCGACCCGTGAGTTATTCTCCTTGGCAGGCTTCCCGTTCTCGAATTCATTCTGACTCTCAGTTTCCTGATAGACCGCACTCCTTGAAGCTGCTACCTGGGTGACGTCGAAACTAATCCGCCGGCCTCGTATCGCTGGTTTCGATTTTCTGTTCTCATCCGGGCATTGCGACGGAGAAGCAAAAAGGAAAAATAAAATTTCAATCCGATGAACGATCGACCCCTATCGTATGCCACGATCAGGACACAACACACAATACAAGCGCCGACCCCCGTCCCAACTGGCGAGGACACCAGTTTACATGGAACACCCAAGTCATGACTTGCAGCAATGAAGATGCCCGTTGACCTGTTCTCTTCCTTGGGAGTACAGCCGATCATGCGGGTATCGGAATGGTCTACCAAACACTTGGCCATGTGAATGCTGGTCCAGAATATTCCCACGCGATGTGGCAATGCTCATATCGAGAAAACCGGATGACCTGCGAGGCTGGCTTGTTTTCGCGGGTTGAATTCGCGTCCGACCTTCGGATGGTTGTTGATGCTTGAGTTCCCCGTAAACAGGCTTGCCGCGGATGGTCAGTTTCTCATCTCCACCCCACAAACAGCTCGTGAATCACAAGTTGTCTGCAGTTTACACTGCACCCAACAGCGTGTGGGATTCCCTGTCACGTCAGTTTTTGAGAGGGCAGCGCGGTTATCCTCCTCCACAGACTGAAAAATGGAGGACTAGGTCCTGCGTCATAGTGCTATTGCGCAGGACAAACTAGGTTATCGAGGCTCGTTAGGCAGAAATAGAGGTCAGGACTGAGTCGTCCATCGAGTAATGACAACTGCGATGTCAGTATGTCAGTATGTTTATGAATGATAGAGCCAAGTACTCTCTGTACAACAGAATACAATAGAAAATAAGACCACGTGGATTTTTCTTTCTTAGATCTCAAGTCTCGACAGATAAGACATTTTTTAATCACGGCGTCAGCATCGTTATCATCATCATTGGAGTTGGAGCTGTAAGGCTCGATGAATAAACAGCCTTGCGTTTATTGATGGTCCAGCTAAGCCGTATGAGGAAGGCGGTGTCGAATACGCTCCCCGTAAAGGACACGGTCAATCACAAGTTGAGCCATTGCTATGATATGGTAACTGGGATGCTGCATACTGGACAGCATTTTCCTTTGTCCTTTCCACTCCTTTGTTGCATTTTTTTAGGAGACCATGCTTCTGGAGGTAATATCTTGACTTGTTTTGACGACAGATATCATCTTCCATGAGAGATCTCTCTCATAGCTTGCCTTCTCTTTGCTAGCTCTAATACCCCAGCGTCACTGAGGGCAACCGTGTCCGCAGTGGAATACCCTCGCCATGTCTACAGATTACAATTATGATGAACAGGTAGAGACTTTTGCCTCAAATCCATGCTTCTGTTCTTGTCCATCTGATACTTATCATCTGTCTAGGGACAATTTTTCCCGTTCTTCATCCTGACTCTTACCGGCCTTGTCACCCTCCCTCTCACATACAACCTTCTCAAGCCGAGCAAGGGTGAGTCGCAGAAGAGGCTTGGGAACATAATCGAAGCCATGAATGACTGACTGTTGTATTCAGAGCTCGAGAATACCGCCCCCCGGATACAATCAGATTTCAAGCCAGAACATGGCGATCTCATCGAAGCACAGAAGCGCAAACGCCTGCGCAAGGAACGCCGTATCAAGCGCATAGTGACCGTCATTGCAGGCTATGCTATCATGGCATGGATGGCCTATCTCATCGTCGTCACTGCGAGAACCGCGCCCAAGATCTGGGATCCATACGAAATTCTGGGTATCTCAAGGGTATGAAATGAGTTCCAACCCAGCATACTGAGGTTTCGCAGGAGCGAAGGGTGTGAATGATCGCTAACTGGCTTCCCTTTTCTAGAGCGCGGACGAAAAAGCCATCTCCAGACACTACAAGCGTCTTTCTCTCATTTACCATCCCGACAAAATCCGCCCTGATCCCTCTAAGAACGAGACCATCGAGACTCTCAACGAGCGCTTCGTTGAGCTGACCAAAGCCTACAAAGCGCTGACAGATGAAGAAGTGCGGAATAACTACATTCAATACGGCCATCCCGATGGCAAACAGAGTTTCAGCATCGGTATTGCTCTCCCCAAGCTCATCGTTTCAGAAGGAAATGGGAAATACGTCCTGTTGGTCTATGGAGCTCTGCTCGGCGTTCTGTTGCCTTATGTCGTCGGAAAGTGGTGGTATGGATCTCAGTGCTACACCAAGGAGAAAGTTTTAATCGCAAGCGCCGGCAACATCTTCCGGGAATACAAGGAAGACATCACCGATGGCGGTATCATCAATGCGCTGTCCGCGGGCGTGGAGTTCAAGGACATGCTCAAGGGCTCTCACGCGGAAGCTGGACTTGCGAAACTCGAGAAGAAGGTTTTGGCTGAAGGTTCGATACTGGCACCCGAGACTCGGAAGACTCTGTCACAGATGGACGATTCCACCCGGCGAAAGGCGCTCGCATTACTGTGGGCTTATTTGGGCAGGATTGACTTGGAGGATGCTACGCTGAATGGAGGTAAGATATGGCCTTTCTGCATGTCTGAAAATCAGTCCGCTAACGAATACTTGTTTCTTTGCAGAGAAATACGAGGCAGCTCCAATTGCCCTCTCTCTGAACGAAGCATTTACAGCCATTTCCCTCGCCTTTGGTAACCTTCATCCTATTCTCGGCTCCTTCCGTGCATCACAGCATCTGATTCAAGCTGTTGCTCCGGGCTCGTCGCCACTGCTGCAACTGCCATACTTCAACAGCCAAGTCATCAAGGCTATTGAAGGCGCAGATGCCAAGGATCATTACACCGTGCAGAAGTTCATGAGTTTGCCCGAAGACAAGCGGCGCAGCCTGACTGTCGGTGCTGGTCTCCTGTCCGAGAAGCAGTACTCAACAGCCGTGTCCGTCGCCAAGCAACTACCCGTTCTTGAAGTCTCCAGGGCCTTCTTTAAAGTGATGGGAGAGAAGGTCATTACCCCAAGCAGTCTGGTGCAACTAGTTGTGAAAGCCCGGTTCATCCCCCCAGGCTCCACCAACATCCCTGAAGTGAACCCCGCCGAACTGGAAGACGTTGACCCAGATGAGGACGACCTCGACGCTCTCATGGGCCGAAAGCCCCCCAAGAACAGACCTACCAGGACTGTCAACGGCCAACAGGTCGAGAACAAGATTGAGACTATCCAACCCCCTCTCGCTCACGCACCCTACCTGGCTCGCGACCACTCTCCTCGCTGGCAGATTTTCCTGGCCGATGCCAAGCAGGGCAAGATGGCCGTTCCTCCATTCACCTTCACCACCTTCGATAAGCCCCTGTTCGACGAGGCAGGAAAGCCCACCTTCAACGTCCAAACACTCAAGATGCAGTTCCAGGCTCCTCCTCAGGTAGGAGACTTCACTTTTGTCATGCACATGATGTGTGACAGCTATCTGGGTCTCGACACAAAGCTGGACATCACGCTACATGTCGACGATCCAGCCAAGGCGGCTGCTCTCGAGGAAGAAGACGACATCAGCGAGCCCGATGAAGGTATGTTTCATTGCATTATTTTTCTGAATTGTCAAGTCAAATCACTAATCAAATCTCGATGATAGATTCTATTGCTGGCCAAATGCAGGCCCTGAAGACCGGCCAACCGCCCAAGAAGAAGGCACGGAAGCCCTCTGATGAGTCTAGTGAGGAGGAGAGTGATACGGATGGCGATGCGGGAGATACCAGCGACACGAACACAGAAACTGACGTTGACGATTAAGGGAGTCTCGTTCTTATTATCCAGAAGGGACATTCAAGTGCAATAAAAGCAGAGAACCACCAATGATTTCTCTGCAGGAATGTTACACTCAGTCAATATAAGCCTCGGATTGCGTCCATGTTGCCTCATTTGGCCATGTAGCGTCTTTGTTTCTTTTTCTTTTCAAATATCTATCCCCGCAATATGCTCGTCCATGGTTTGTCTGCTCCTGGAGTTATTTCCTGTATTGTACATGTTAGATTTGCATTTAGTCTGGGAGTTGAATCAAACTTTCTCATACTTCATATACTGTTTGTTAGTTCTCAAGGCGTCAATTTGAACTCTGATGTTGAAGGTCGAACTTTTTCAGCCAACAATACAGCCGCCCCGCAGAAAGTAACATCCCGACCCAGGATGGGATGACCAGTGTATGGATGTGATCCTTTTGTAAGACATATCTCAGAGCAGAAGCGGTGATATGATACTCAACAGGCGGATCGTCAGCCTGGAATATTCCCTGCTCATGTAGATAAAAACGAACTCCATTTGGATATCTGATGATGGTATCTCAGGGCCTTAAAAACTAAGCGATAACGACGGCATAGGCCATGCACAACGATGAGCACCGAGGGATGGGCATGAGGACAAGAAGAAAAGAATGAGAGGAGGACAGGCTATGGATGCCAAGGTCATCTAGTGATGGAGGAGAACAAAGCCGCATAGATCAGACAGAAGAGGATCGGAAGGTCAGGGGAAATACTTGGCTTCCCATGACCCCGAACAGAACGTGCTATTCGCGTGGGTAGGACCAGCCTGGGACAAGAGGCGGATGAATAGGCTGCTGCTCTTGCAGGTGAACATCGAAGCCTCCAAGCATATTAACAGGCATCTCGGTAGCGGACGCAGGTTGTTGAAAACCAGGCCCGGCGGTCACGCAAGAGCCAAGCGACTCTTTGGCATCCGCGTTACAAGTATCTAGATAGTAAAGGTACGGGTGGTTATGGCCGAGCACAGTTGCTGCTGTGCCGAGACATGCAGTATCACCAGCGAGATTGTTGGTCCGAGACGGCGGCAGCCCAGCAAAATCCTGGTTCGAATAGCTATGATAATGCTCTGAGCGGACAGTCTGAATTGAAGGGAAGTTCCACTTCCATCCAGTCCCTACAGGGGAGAGGTCGACGGGACTGCAGTTGCTGGACGAGGGCTCGGGCGGAGTAGCTGGTTCTGGAGAGGGGTCTGTCGTTGCGCTGCATTCAGCCGAAGTGGACAGCAAGCGCAAATACTGTAGATCTTCCGAGTCTTCGTTGCTGTCTTCAGGGTTCTCC